GAAAAAATGCTCAACATCACTAATCATCAGAGAGATGCAAATTAAAACAACAATGAGGTATCACCTCACACCTGTCAGAATGGCCGCCATCAACAAATCATCAAACAACAAGTGTTGGCGAGGGTGTGGAGAAAAGGGGACTCTAGTGCACTGCTGGTGGGAATGCAGAGTGGTGCAGCCACTATGGAAAACACTATGGTGTTACCTCAAAAAATTAAAAATTGAACTACCATTTGACCCAGTAATCCCACTTCTAGGAATATACCCTAAGAAGCCTGAAACACCAATCAGAAGGAATATATGTACCCCTATGTTCATAGCAGCACTATTTACAATAGCTAAGATCTGGAAACAGCCCAAGTGTTTATCAGTAGAAGAATGGATTAAAAAGCAGTGGTACATATACACAATGGAGTACTGTGCAGCGGTAAGAAAGAAAGATCTCTTGTCCTTTCAGACAACATGGAGGGACCTGGAGACTATTATCCTAAGTGAAACAAGCCAAGCAGAGAAAGACAAATATTACATGATCTCACTTATTTGTGGAATATAATGAACATAACAGTCTGAGGAATGGGGTAGTCCCAGAGATGTGGAGGTGGGGTACAGACTGACAACCCTCAGAAGAGGGGGTTATAGGGAGAGGGAAGAGATAAACCACAGAACTTATATGCATGTATGCATAACCAATGGACATGGACAACAAAGCTGGGGACGGGGTGGGGGTGATGGGGAGGAGGGTGTCAATGGGGAAAAAAGGAGAAACATCTGTAACAAAAATAAATTAATTTAAAAAAAGGAAAAAAAATCAATGGAAAAATATTCTCGAGTGAAGATTTAAAAAATTAATTAAAATAAATAAATAACTATTACTACAGAAATATTTTTATGATATTGAGAAATAATGTCTACCTTTTAAAATAATTTTTAAAGTATGTTCAAAAAAACAAAAGTATGTTCAATGTTAATATGTAGAAGTCACCCACAGGATTCATCCATTTAGTCATTCGCTCATTCATTTGTTCATTCATTCAACACACAAGGGTTTGGAGATACAGAGCCGTCCGGGCTCTGGATGCAGCAGGGTGGAGCAAAGGGGGTAGTAATAGATAAACAGGGAGATGTCTACAGCAATTTCAAACTGGGCACGTTCTAGGAAGGAAGACTGCAGGGGACGTCAAGACTGATGTCTGCCCCACGACGAAGGCATTCAGCTTCATCCTAAAGTCAACAGGATTTTTTTTTTTTTTTTGGTTTTAGGTCAGGTTTATTGGAACATAATTTACTTAGAATAAAATTCAGCCTTGCCCTGGCCAGTTTGGCTCAGCAGTTAGAGCGTCGGCCTGCGGTCCGGAGAGGCCCGGGTTCGGTTCCCGCTAAGGGCATGTACTTTGGTTGCAGTTTGTCCCCGGCCCTGGTTGGTCGTGCGGGTGGCAGCCACTCGATGTGTCCCTTCACGTCGATGTTTCTGTCTCTCTCTCCCTTCCTCTCTCTCCCTCCCACTCTATCTGTACAAAAAATGGAAAAATATCCTCGGGTGAGGATAAAAAAAAAAAAAAAAAATTCAGCCTTCTTAGTGTAGTTTTATGACTTTTGACAAAACACATAGTCATATATATAGCTACCACTGTGGTCAAGATAATAGAATAGCTTCATCACCCCCAAAATACTCCCTCACACCCCACTGCAATCAGCCTCTTCCCTCATCACCAGCCCCTGGAAACCACTGATCTCTTTTCTATCCCTCTAGTTTTGGCTGTTTCAAATGTTATATAAGTGGAATTATATAGTATGGAGCCTTCCAGGTATGGCTTCTTTCACTAGAATAGTGCATTTAAGATTCCTCCATGGTGTTGCACGTATCAGTAATCCATTCCTCTTCGCTTCTGGTTAGGGTTCCATCGCAGATACCACAGCTTGCTTAGCCATTCCCCAGCTGAGCGACACGGGTTATTTCTAGTTTTGGGTGATCATGAATAGAGCCACGAGAAACATTCACGTACAGGTTTTCATGTAAACACCTGTTCTTATTTCTCCTAGGTAAATAGTAAATACCTAAGAGAGACACTGTTGGTATGGTAACTGCATTCTGAACTTCATAAGTTGACAAACTGTTTTCCAAAATAGGCAGGCCATTTTCCATTTTAACAGCAACGTGAGAGAATTTGAGTTGCTACACACCCTTGCCCATACTTGATATTGCCAGTTTATTTCCTTTTTATGCCAAACATTCTAATACATGTACAGTAGTACCTTATTGCAGTTTTAAATACATTTCCCTAGTAGTTAATGGCATGGAATGATAGATGTTCATGTAGGCTTATTTGCCATCCATGTATCTTCTTTGGTGAGGTGTCTCTTTTGATATTTTGTTCATTTTTAATTGGATTGCATCTTACTGTTTAATTTGCAAGTGCTTTATGTATTCTGAATATGTCCTTTGTCTGATATGTAATAAAAAAAAAAAGAAGGAAAATGTACAAATATTTTCTCCCACTCTGTAGTTTATCTGTTCATTCTCTTAACAGTGTCTCATAGAGCAAAAACTTTTCATTTTAATGAAGTCTTTTTTATCAATGTTTCCTTTGTGGACCATGCTTATGGTGTTACATCTAAAAACTCTTGCTTAACAACCCTGGCTGATTTGGCTCAGCGGTTAGAGCGCTGGCCTGTGGACCAGAGAGACCCGGGTTCAGTTCCCGCTAAGGGCACGTACCTCGGTTGCAGTTTGTCCACGGCCCCAGTTGGAGTCATGTGGGTGGCAACCACTCAATGTCTCTCTCTCTCTCTCTCTCTCTCTCTCTCTCTCTCTCTCTCTTCCTCCCTCTCACTCTATCTGAAGATAAAAAAATAAAGAACTCTTGCCTAGCACAAGGTCACAAAGATTCCCTCCTGTGTTTTCTTCCACAAGTATTGTAGTTTTATATTCTACATTTAGCTCTATGAGCTATTTTAAATTAATCTTAATATGGTATGAGGTATGGGTAGAGGTTTTCATTGTCTTTTGTTTTTTATTATGCTGCCTAATTGTTCCAGCACCATTGAACTCTCCACTGAATTGTCTTTGTGCCTTTATTAAAAATCAGTTGACTAGCCCTGGTCGGTGTGACTCAGATGAGTGTTGTCCATTCACCGAAAGGTTGTGATTCGATTCCTGGTCAGGACACATGCTGCCCAGGTTGCAGGCTTGATCTCCAGTAGGGGGCATGAAGGAGGCAGCTGATCAACGTTCCACTCTCACATGGATATTTCTCTCTCTCTCTCTCAAAACAAAAAAAATCAATAAAAGAGTGTTTTTAAAAAATCAATTGTACCCAGCCAGTGTGACTCAGTGGATTGAGCATCTTCCCATGGACTGAGAGGTCCTGGTTCGATTCCCAGTCAGGGCACATGCCTGGGTTGCAAGCTCGATCCCCAGTAGGGGGCGTGCAGGAAGCAGCCGATCAATGTTTCTCTCTCCCTCTCCCACTCCCTTTCCCTCTCCCTTCCTCTCTCTCTAAAAATAATAATAATAATAATAAATTTTAATTAATAAATACATAATACGAGAACAAAATCTGTGTTCTGTGTACTCACAACTGTAAACCTACATTTGCCCACTCCTGTATTTATTGTGGGAAATAAGTGGACCTATGCAGTTCAAACCCATATTGTTTAAGAGTCAACTGTATTTTGTTGAAATTTTTAAAATCTTTATTAGATATTGGTCTGTAGTCAACAAAAAGGGAGGCAACATGAGACTTTGGGAGACCCACACGAAGGCTACAGCTAGATCCACGCAAAAGACAGCGATGGCCTGGGCCAGGCTGATGGCAGTGGGGATGGAAGGAGAGGGCAAATTTGAGACGAATCTGCTTCCTATCCTTCTATCCAGTGTTTTCCACCCCCAGACACATGCTCTCTGAACTCACACTTTCTCTTCTTCTGACCACTTTCTCCCCTCACTCTTCACTTCTCTAGTTCTTCCTCCTTAACTGCCACTTCCTTCAGGAAGCCTTCCCGAATGTCCTTGTTCTTGTAACACTCACACTGTTCAGTTTGAGTATTTATCACCCTTGACTGTAATTTGCGTGTTTAATATTTGTGTGTGGTAGTGAAGTTTACCAGCCAGCCTTCCCTCTGTGATCCTGGGCTACACACACAAAGCAGAAACAGCAACACGTCCACCCTTGACTTCCTGGAGCCCCCTCGCATTCTCTCCCACCCACTCCTTCTACGTGCCAGGCACTGACGCCGTCAATAGTATGTGTTGGTCAAACCTTTAAAAAGCATATGAATAATTTGACTATTTACAAAGAATTATGACAAGATCGTTCAGGTAGAGAGCAAACTGGTTTCATTCACATCTGATGCATTAATTGCAGACCAAAGAGAACACACACAGAACCACAGGCACAAAATCATGGGTACAGTCCTATTCGGGAATTTGCAAGGATGATTTTGACGAAAGATTTTTGCCTCACACACCACATAAGATGCCCCACATAAGGTGCAACCAAACTGCTTTTGCAGGGGTAATATTTAAAATATTGAACTGTTAGGACTGCTCAGGCACTGAGCGGGGACTTAGCTGGAGGAGGTCCTAGAGGTCCCCTCAGGTGTCCTGCCTGACTTCATAGTTGCTGGGGAAGTTCAGAGAGTACTGGGGAAGGGCCAGTGTGCAAGGTGGGGCCACCTCAGGGAAATAGCTATTTACTAACAGATACAAAATTATTTCAATACTTTAATAACTAATGTGTCTATATTGATTATGTAGTGTCAAATACCAGCTCTGTATATAGGTAGACTCAGAGGGAGCTCTGTACAGGTCAAGTGTTATATTTATTGTTAGAGTTTTCTCAGATGCAAAGCTGACCCTGTGAGTCTCCAGCTCGAAGCCCTCTGAAGGCTCCTTTATAAAACTCTGCCCCTCGCGGCACCTGGAGAAGCCCACCCTGGAACCTCGCAGTCCCCAGGGCACCTCTGTTGGCACGTTTGTGATCCACAAGCTCTGCACTCACCTGGGTGCCCTTGATAACAGAGCTGGTCTCCCAGACATTAGCGCTCTGTCTGAACATTACCACCATGCCAGTGTGCTGGTATCGAGGCGCCCCCAAAACCAGAGTTTGCACCCGACCCCACAAGACGACTTCAGCAGCATAACCTAAAGATGATAATCCAAAGTAAGTATTTTTTCTTGCAGACCCTGCCCCCTTTAGCAGGCCTACTAAGGGCAGGCTGAGTAAGGGCAGCCCCATGCTTGATAGTTCGGGGGGAACTGGACCCTGCACTATATTCCTCTTAACATAATTAAAATGAAATTTTGAAAGTTCTATCTTTAATCCCAAGGTCTTATGAAAGATCTAATGACATCTCTACTGGTTGAGTTATAACACATCCTGACCCTTTCTTAGAATAACCCTGTCCTCCCCACTTACCCAAGTAAGCATCATTCATATCTGAATCTACCCTGGTTGTGTTGATAAAGGTGATTTTATCCTGTGGCATATGCAGAAAGGCTCCGCCAGCCCAGTCAAAGCTCCCCACGGCACCCAGCAAGGGACCATTCTGGGAAAGAGAACAGAATAGGATTCAGCAATCTAGTTTCAGTGAAATCCCTATCAAAATTGCAATGGCATTTTTCATAGAAATAGAACATACAATCCTAAAATTTGTATGGAAACACACACACACAACAACAACAACAACAACAACAACAACAACCACCAAATAACTAAACCAATTTTGAGAAAGAAGAATAAAGATAGAAGCATTACACTTCTTGATTTCAAACTATATTGCAAAGCTATAGTAATCAAAACAGCATGACACTGGCATAAAAACAGACACATAGACCAATGAAACAGAATAGAGAGCCCAGAAATAAACCCATGCATATGTGGTCAACCAATTTACAACAAAGAAGCCAAGAATATACAATGGGGAAAGGATAGTCTCTTAAACCAATAGTGTTGGGGAAACTGGACAGCCACATTCAAAAGAATGAAACTGGATCACTATCTTACACCACACACAAAAATCGAATTAAACATTTGAACATAAGACCTGAAATCATGAAACTCCAAGAAGAAAACATAGGCTCCTTAACATCAATCTTGGTGGTGATTTTTTGGATTTGACATCAAAAGCAACAGCAACGAAAGCAAAAATAAACAAGTGGGGCTTCATCAAAAGGTGTGCACAACAAAGGAAACCATCAGCAAATTTAAAAAGGCAACCAAAAGGATGGGGGAAGGTATATATTTCAATCACATGTCTGACAAGGGGTTAATATATCCAAAATATATGAAGAACTCATACAATTCAATAGCAAGAGAATAAACAACCTGATTTAAAAATGGGCAGAGGCCCTGGCTGGTTTGGCTCAGCAGTTAGAGTGTTGGTCCACACCAAAGGGTCACAGGTTCAATTTTTGGTCAAGGACACGAACCTGGGTTGCAGGTTTGATTCCCAGCTCTTTGTGGGAAGTAACCAATCAATGGGTCTTTCTCACATTGACATTTCTCTCTCTCTCCCTCCCTCCCTGCTACTCTATTAAAAATCGGTAGATAAATATCCTTAGGATTAACAAAAACAAAAAGCAAAAACAAAAAAAAAATGGGCAGAGGATCTGAACAGACATTTTTCCAAAAAAAGACATACAGATAGCCAAGAGGTACATGAAAAAGTGCTCAGCGTCACACAACAAAAGCAAAACCACCGTGAGATATCACCTCACACCTGTGAGAATACCTGTCATCAAAAAAGACAAAAAATAGCCTGGCCAGTGTGGCTTAGTGGATTGAGCATCATCCCATGGACTGAGAGGTCCTGATTCAATTCCCAGTCAGGGCACATGTCCAGGTTAGGGGCTTAATCCCCAGTAGGGGGCATGCAGGAGGCAACCAATCAATGTTTCTCTCCCCTTTCCTCTCTCTCTAAAAACAAACAAAAAAGACAAAAAATAACAAGTGTTGGTGAGGATGTTCACTGTTGTGGGAATGTAAATTGGTACAACCACTATGAAAAATAGTATAAAGCCCTGGCCAGTGTGGCTCAGGGGTTAGAGCGTCGGCCTGTGGTCCAGAGAGACATGGGTTCGGTTCCCACTAAGGGCATGTACCTCGGTTGCAATTTGTTCCCGGCCCTGGTTCAGTCGTGCAGGAGACAGCCACTCGATGTGTCCCTTTCATATCGATGTTTCTCTCTCTCTCTCTCCCTCCCACTCTATCTGAACAAAAAATAAAAAAATGTCCTCAGGTGAGGATTTCAAAAAACACACAAACAGTATGAAGTTTTCTCAAAAAATGAAGAAAGAGCCCTGGCCGGTTTGGCTCAGAGGTTAGAGCGTCGGCCTGCAGTCCAGAGAGTCCCAGGTTTGGTTCCTGCTAAGGGCATGTACCTCGGTTGCAGTTTGTCCCCGGTCATGCGGGTGGCAGCCACTCGATGTGTTCCTTTCACATCGATGTTTCTCTCTCTCTCTTCCTCTCTCTCCTTCCCACTCTATCTGAACAAAAAATGGAAAAATGTCCTCGGGTAAGAATAAAAAAAAAAAAATTTAAGAAAGAATTACCAAATGATGCAGGAATCCTACTTCTAGATATTTATCTGAAGGAAACAAACACACTAATTCAAAAAGATGGCGACACCCCATGTTTATTGCAGCGTTATTTATAACAGCCAAGACACAGAAGCAACCCAGGTGTCAATCAGTGGATGAATGGATAAAGAAAACGTGGTATATATAACGGACTATTGTTCAGCCATAAAACAGAAGAAAATCCTGTAATTTGCGACAACATGGATGGACTTGGAGGGCATTAAGGTATGTGAAATAAGTCAGACAGAGAAAGACAAATAATATATCATCTCGCTTATATAGAGAATCTAAAAAGAAAAAAGCAGAAGAAGAACTCTTATATACAGAGAACAAATTGGTGGTTGCCAAAGGCAAGGGATAGGGGGTGAGCAAAATGGTGAAGGTGGTCAAAATGTACAAACCTCTAGTTATAAAATAAATAAACCCTGAGGATATAATGTATAGCATGGTGATTATAGTTAATAATACTGCATCATATATTTGAAAGTTGCTAAGAGAATAAATCTTAAAAATTCTCATCCCAAGGAAAAAAATTATAACTGTGCTATGATAGATGTTAACTAGACTTACTGTGGTGGTCATTTCCCAATATATATACATATAGAATTGTTGTGTTGTACACTTGAAGCTAATACCATGTCATACATCTATTATATCTTAATTTTTAAAAAGAGCAGGCTTGACAAAGACGTGAGAAAGGACCACTGCTGCCATCAGAGAGGTTCCTCCCCAAAATTACCCACCTCAGAGAAGAGCACCCCACCCTTGTGCCTCTTCTCCCCCTTCTTCCTTTTTTTTTTTTAAGTGTTTTGTGTGTTTTTTATCCTCATCCGAGGACATTTTTCCATTTTTTGTTCAGATAGAGTGGAAGGGAGAGAGAGAGAGAGAAACATCGACGTGAAAGGGACACATCGAGTGGCTGCCACCCGCACAACCCAACCAGGACCGGGACAAACTGCAACCGAGGTACGTGCCCTTAGTGGGAACCAAACCCGGGTCTCTCTGGACTGCAAGCCGACGCTCTAACCACTGAGCCAAACCGACCAGGGCTCCCCCTTCTTCTTACCACCCTTACAATTCTTTTTTCTTTATTGATTTTAGAGAGAGAGGAAGAGAGAGATAGAAACATTGATGAGAGAGAACATGGACTGGCCGCCTCCTGCATGCCCCCCACTGGGGATCTGGCCCACAACCTGGGCCTGTGCCCTGACCAGGAATCAACTGGCGACCTCTTGGTGCATGGGTCAACGCTCAACCACTGAGCCACACCAGCCAAGCACCACCCTACAATTTAAGGAAGGACCACTTACGGAGGTTATGGAAGCACTGAAGCCTTCCTGAGACATCTCATACTCAAAGGAGCTGGTACTTCCCGTCTGAGTACCTGTGAGGAGGAGAACACTCTACATTAAAGACGGCAGAAGAGCCTAGAACAGGGGCTGGCAATTCAGTCCCTGGCCCCCTCCCCCTAGGACACACGGGAGCTGAGGGTGGGCAGGGCCCGAGCAGCTCTGGGGCGGTGAATAATAGCTGTTCAAGTCTGCAATAAAAAATGGCCTCCGGCCCGGCCAGAGTGGCTGAGTGGATGGAGCACTGTCCCCTGGACTGAGAGGTCTGGTTCCATTCCCAGTCGGGGCACATGCCCGGGTTGCAGGCTCCACCCCCAGTGGGGGGCATGCAGGAGGCCCATGGATGTTTCTCTTTCACATCCATGTCTATCTCTCCCTTCCTCTCTCTCTAAAAAAATGAATAAAAACCTATTTTTTACAAAAAAAAAAAAATGGGAAAGAAACGGACTGGAAAGAGTAAAAAGTCGAGGAGGCAGAGCCTGAAGAATTTGTAGTGGAAAAGTATTGGACTGACGCTTAGTGAACTGGATGGGGAGCATTTCCTGAAGTGGACGGGACTCAGATGCTGACAATACTTGGGAATCTGAAGATGGTCCAGAGTTCACTGAAGCATTTCTTACTTCTCAAAAAGCTGGTAAAGAAGATGGTACAGAAAGAAAATCTTTATCTGCAGTGAATCTGATGACAGCACATCAAAGAGGAAAAGAGGTGCTGCTGGTAAGCCGGGAAGCTGCCAGAGGTCTTGGCCCTGAATGAAGAGTCCACAGACCCGGTGGAGAGAATTCACGTTTCGTGAAAGGGGAAGATGCAGATGAGGTGGATTTGGTGCTGACAAAAGAGTGTCCTGAAATCGTAATTGCTTTTGATGAAGAGGGGCAATTTGGCATTCTTGTCCAGAACACGTAGCCCAGGACCTGTTTGCATTGCTTTCCATATACATTTACATGGAAATGTAAATATATACCTGGTTCTTTGGTTTTTTCTTTGTTAGCATAGGAAATAACTACATTCTAATGGAAATCAAGTTTGATATGTCTGTTTTGAAGTAGTACGGGGCAGTTGTTGAGGGGGTTGCATCTCTAGCACTGGTTACTTTGAACAAAAGCTTCCTGTAGTCACTTCCTTTACCAGAGAAGAACATTTGATCCATGGTGTAGTTTTTTTCCTCGGTATTTTAGGGAATAGACTTTTCTAAAGTCTATTCTAAAGAAATCTTCAGAGTCATGATTCAGTCAGAATTTGTGTTTAACTCATATATGCCTAAGGATCATTCTGGGTTTTTGTTTATTTGGGGGGTTGGTGTGTATACACACAAAAAAAATGTAAATAGTTTTTTGTTTGTTTCTTTCTTTTTTAAACATTTACGAAAATAAACACAGCATTTCACAGCCACACATAAACATATGTTTCTGGGCTGCCATCATTTTCAACCTAAGATATAAATCACTTCAAGTTCAATTGAAATTTGTTCTGAAGGTTTAAACTTTGAAATTAGATAATTTGTAATTAATTGGTAATTTAAATATAATGTAAGTCATTTAAGTTGGACCATTTAAAAGCAGCCATAGCAGAATCCATATCCATATCTATAATCATAAATGCAAATTTATTTGAAAAGTACCTGAAAGAAAAGTTTTATCACTACCAACAACCTCCCTACCCAAATGAGAAAGCTAAACAAACCCTGGTGGGCATAATTAGGCAAGACTTAAAGGTTTTCCCTGGTGGAATGTTCCTTTACATGAAGCTGAAATCCTTCTGTTACATGGACCAAAAAGTCATGATTCGTGGAATGTGTAAGACTTTGTTCATGGAAACCTAATCAGATCGTTAGAGACGTTGGCAATTCAATACCTGCTGGAGTAAATGGGTGAACAAACTTTTGTAATCTGAACTCCTGACCTGCATGTTTACTCTTTACCCCAACTCATTCCTTACACGTAGGCTCAGTCTCAGTATTTAGCTTACTGGTTCAGCAGAAGCCAGGAAAAACAATAACTGTAGTAAACAGAATGTTACCCAACTGTATATTGTTTATTTTATTGTAAATACTTGCAGACAGTGGTCAATATTTCTTTAACACACACACACACACAAATGCTTTGGTGGCCAGACAAAAGGGGGCTCAGGTGAGAGCCATGTTAAACTAGAACGTATGTGCCCCTTTCAAAGGGATGGTGGCTCTTTGGCTCCAGCTGCATTTTGCCAAGTGGGAATGTGGTTCCCAAGAGAAGCCATAAATCTAGATTGTATATGAACCTTCCACCAATCTTTTAAATATGTTTTTATTAATTTTAGAGATAGAGGAAGGGAGAGAGAGAAACATCGATGAGAGATAAACATCGATCGCCTACCTCTTGCACACCCCCTACTGGGGATCGAGCTGGCAACCTAGGCATGTGCCCTGACTGGGAATTGAACCAGAGACCTCTTGGTGCATGAAAGGATGTTCAACTAACTGAGCCACACTGGCCAGGCCCCCAGTTTTTTAATTCTTTTATTCAAAAACCTTTTATCGAGCACCCTCTATGCACCAGGTACTATTCTAGCACTGGGAAAATAGCAGTGAACCAAACAGACAAATGTTGGCAACATCTCAAATTTTTAGAAAAATACTGTGTGGGATTTGGCTCCCCTACCCTCCAATTTTTCAGCCTGTAGCCAAGAGTTGCAAAATTAGAGATAAAAGCCTAGATCTTTCTATTCCAAAGGAACTGACCAAGTGAAGCAGAGTTGCTGGGAACTGAAGGAAGTGGAAAGAGAGTTGATGCTGAGGGTCAGGAGACCAAAGATTAGGAGGTTCTAGTTTCTAGAGAGGAATATTGGCTTGGAGTGAGGGGCTGCCTCTGAGGCTGTTCCCGAAACACAGAACCTTAGCTCACCCTCAATCGCAAAGATCTTTTCCTGAAGCTGGTTCTGAATGGTCTTCAGAGCTTCAAAGTTATTCACCTGGAACACATGCTCGCGAGGTGGCTGGGATGCAATGGTATTAAGCTCTTGGCGGGATTTCTCATTGTTGAAGGCACTTCCCACCTGTTACCAAGGAACAAGCTGAATCAGACACTGTCTGGGGGTAGCTATCTTATGCAGCCAGAAAATTCTACAGAAAAAGTACCTAAAACAATGTCTGTCCCAAGAGGGAAGACACCAGAAGGCCCCTGGGATGGGGCTCCAAGTGTAGTAGAGCAGACTGTATTCTGTGCCAGGGATTCTGTCAAGGGAGCAACTGGGGACTGAAATCCAGCCTTTGGTCCATGTGCTGGGCCCTGCCTGCCGGTGTGGGGCTGACTTTTCTCCAGTGGAAAGGAGACTTTTCTTCCTATGAATGTGTTTATTACTTGCCAAGTCATGCACCTTTGTCTGTGTCACACAGGTACTATGGTAGTTTGACTACACTGCGGATCCCAACCCTTTACCCATTCCTGTATCCAAGCCATTTCCCTGGAACTTTGCTGTGTCCTCCTAGCCTTGGCAGAGCAATCTGCCCCACTCATTGACTGGGTTCAGCCACATGTCTTGCATGTCATTAAATGGGATGCAAACAGGGGCTTGAAAAGGTGCTTGCAATATTTCCACTTTCTCTTTTGTTCCTCTGCCTGCACCCTGAGGACGTGCCCAGGCTAGTGCACTGGAGGATGCGACAGAGCAGAAGAGCCAGGTTACCCCTGTCGCTCCCGCCATTCCTGTCCAGCAGACAGAGCTGGCAACCCTCAGAAACAGAGAGCCCCGCCAAGACCAGCAGGGCTGCCAACCAACCTGCCACAGATGCATGAGTGCCCAGCTGAGACCAGAAAATCTGCCCAGCTGAGACCAGAAAATCTGCCCAGCTGACTTACAGACTCGCTTATTGTTTTAAACCAGTGACTTTTTGGTTAGTTCATTACACAGCATCATTATGACAATAGTTAACGGATGTATACATGCACATATGGGCTGGCAGTGTCTGTCGCCCACTTTGATTGTATTGCTATTTGCTAATCGAAGGGAGGATGTATCTAAGCAGAAATCCTCCCCGGAAACACCAGGCCTGAGAGCCACATTTCCTACCCCAATGACATAGCGAATGACACCCCGTCTGTCTGCCTCAGGGATGACATCCTTATATTCCTTGGCATCACCATACTTTTCTCCATCTGTGATGACAACTAGGATCTTAAGGGCATTCTTCCGAGCTCCATTGTTGCTGCTAAACAGTTCTGTTCTGTGCAGGGAAGAGGAGGGAAAAGTCAAATGCGAGCAGATGGAGACACTCAATGCTAGGGAGGGGGTGTCAGCAGTCACTGATGCAGACACAGCAGGGCTCTGTCTAGGATGGGCTTGGGCTCCCCCAAGATGAACACTGGGGTGTGGCTTCCCCAAGACCTGGAAAGGCAGCAGGAGAGGGGATAAAAGTAGAGGGAAAAGACACCTTCACTGCTTTTATGTGCTTTTGCATAGGTTGAGGTTTTAACTATTATTCCTTTTAAATTAAAAACTACATATATGTTTTGTAATGAACTTGACTGAGCCTTCATCTAACCTCTCCTGGTTTGATACAACAGCTCTCTAGCCCATCTCCTGAACTTATGTCCCAACCTCCACCCTTGGCTCTACAGACACACATACACACGACATAAAACAGAGTGAACTTTCCAAATCAAGGTATGGCTACATCTCCCCACTACTTAAAACCTTCCGTGGGTCCCCTCTGGCTTTTCAGTTACTCACAGCGACTTGGCCCCAGCCGCTGTTTCTAGCCTGCCTTCAGCTTCCCTCTCACTCCCCCCTTCTTTCCCACCTCTACTCACACTTGTTTTGTCATGAACAGTCCCTCCCCCACACCTTCACTCATGATGTTCCCTCAACCAGAAATATCCTTTACTCCAGCCCTGTCTGAATAACTCCCCTCATCCTTCAAACCCCAGCTACAAATATCACCTCCTTCTCACATCCTAAGCAAAACAGGAAGAGCTTACACTACTTTGAGGATTCCCGTGGCGGTGTATGTGTACCCAGTCAGCTGTTCTATTGGCGTCACCAGTCCCCTCGGGTTAGGGTTATTCTTGAAATCTTTGAAGGTGAAATGAGTCCGGAAGTCGTCAGAGTACTGCATCAAGGAGAACTGGAAACAGGTACCTGGCATTACATTGAAGAAGATGCCTCTCCTTCCTCTTGGTCATCTCCCAGAAAGCCTACAGAAATCTTAAAACACTCTCCAGTGTCCAAATTCCTCCAAATTCAGCACTGCCTCATCCTTCTGCCCCACCAGGAAAGAGAGATCTGCCATCAGCTCTCATGTCTCAGTCCTAGAACTCAGTCAGAGATGACACATGGGTTTCATCTCCCATGCCAACTCCTATCACATAGTCCAAGCTGCCCAATTTACAGAGAGCTAGAAGAATATTGAGGCTGCATTCAGACAGAGCAATAAAGGGAATCATGACAGAAAACCATGATTGACTGGCAATCTGTCCAAGTTTGCAGTTGAAGTACAAAAGTGGTGACCTAGTTGCAATGTCCTTGCCAGCCTTGTATGGGCTATTCCCTGACCTACCCATTGGGCCTCACCAAGGTTTTGGACTTTGTGAATTGACGCATCACAGTTGAGACAAAATTCTTCATCCGCTGAAAGTCATTTCGGTTGATGCTACCAGAGCCATCAATCAAGAAGGCAATGTCACTCTCCTGCTGAGGGCATTCTGGGAAAAGGAAAAAGAACATGAATTGATTAAGTACTAGAGCCTTCAGGTTGTTAGTTATCTGCTGAACAATGAGATTAAAATGTAAACACAAGCCTGGCCCATGTGGCTCAGTGGATCGAGCATTTGCCCATGGGCTGAAAGGTCCCAGTTTGATTCCAGGTCAGGGCATGTGCCTGGGTTGCAGGCTCAATCCACGGTGGGGGGCATGCGGGAGGCAGCCGATTGATGTTTCTCTCTCACATCAATGTTTCTATCTCTCTCTCCCTTCCTTTCTCTCTAACAAAAATCAATGAAAACATTTTAAAAATAAAAAATAAATTTTTTAAAGGTAAACATGCTTCAACCCCTGCTCCAAATTAAATAAAAACATGGACAAGCCCAGCAAGCGTGGCTCAGTGGTTGAGCATCGACCCATGTACCAAGAGGTTGCCAGTTCGATTCCCAGCCGGGGCACATGCCCAGGTTGTGGGCCTGATCCCCGGTGGGGGGGGGGGGGAGGGCATGCAGGAGGTGGCCAATCAATGTTCTCTCTCATCGATGTTTCTATCTCTATCTTCCTCTCCCTTCCTCTTTCTCTAAAATCAATAAAGAAAAATAATTAATTTAAAAAAAAAAAAAAACCATGGACTAATAGGAATGTAAAAATTTCGTTAATTCTGCCCAAACGTCAGGGAAAGTGGTGATATTGGAGCTACCTCATGAAGAGTGAGAACTAATTTTCCAGAAATACGAAGGGACAAATGAACTACAGGGGAAAGGAGCAGACACATAAAGGTGTGCCAGATGTTCTCCCTCTGCCCTCAGCCCCGACCCCACTTTCTACCTTCTCTAGCTCTGCTCTGCAGCCTGGGAGGTGGGCCCACAGGTCCACAGCAACAGGGCTTTTATATTTTATACCTTCTGGCTTCAGGTGCATTTGCCCAAGTAGGAGCCTCAACAGGGGACTGGAGGAGGCAGAAAAGTGGGATTAGCATATTCTCCTCTAGGCTCCCTCCCTGCAAGGTTGCTCCGGGCCAGCTGTGTCCCTCCACAGACGAGATCCATGCCTCTCAAGGAGGCCCGCACCATACAACTTTCTCTCCTCTGGATGCTGATGACTTTTCCCACTCCTTGTCTTATCAGCTTAGGGGTGGCGACAGCTCTGCTGGCCCTGAGTTCCTGCATGGCCCCTTTTAGTTCCCTTAGACCCTACCATGACTTTATAAATAGTCCCTTTGTAAATAAACCATTTTCAAGTTATCTTAACTGAAGTGTGCCCTCTGTTCTGGTGGAGACCCGGACTGATACAAAGGGGATGGGCCGAAAAGAATTCTGGTAGAAATCTGGCCAGTTTGGCTCAGCGGTTAAAGCATGGGCCCAAGGACCAATGAGTCACAGGTTCGATTCCAGTCAAGGGCACAAACCTCAGTTGTGGTTTGTCCCCAGGCCTGGGCAGGGTCGTGAAGGAGGCAACCAGTCGATGTGTCCCTCTCACATCAATGTTTCTCTCTCCCCCTCTTTCTCCCACTATATCTGAAGATAAAATTTAAAAATATCCTCATGTGAGAATTAAAAAAAGAAAAGAATCCTGGTAGAATCTAAGAATGGAAATGGAACTACCAGGGTAAATCTATATGACGGTGATTGAAACAAAGAGATAGAGCTATGACATTAAGCAGAAAATGATTGGAAAGAGCCTCTCTATCCCAAAAAGAAGTTTGACTTTACCTGTTTGGCGGTGCAGAGCCATTGAAGGTTCTTAGGAAAGAAAGTGAGATGATCAGTCTGTGTTTTAGAAAGATTGTCATAGCAGTGAAGACTTCTACCAGTCTTATTTATGATGTGAAACATTAGAAATAACCCAAACATCCTTCAGTGGGTGAATGGATGAACTGGTGAATGAGACCGTGATAAATCCATGCAATGGAATATTACTCAGCAATAAAAAGGAAAGAACTATGGACACACATAACAATATGGGTGAATCCCAAATGCAAACTCAAAAGGTTATGATTCCATTTATGTAACATTCTTGAAAAGACAAACTATATGGTGATGGAGAACAGATCAGTAAGTGCCAGGGGCTAAGGGTAAAGGGGAGAAGGCAATTGACTCTAAAGGCATGGTACAGGCTTTCTTAGGGTGGAGTACAACTGTTTTATATCCTGTTCATGTTGTTTTACACAAATCAACACATATCTTAAAATTCATAAAAATTGTAAACTAAAAAATAGTCATGGGAATATAGGTACAGCATAAGGAATAAAGTCAATAATATTGTAGTAACTATATATGGTATAAAATAAGTACTAGATTTATCAGGGTGATCACTTCATAAGGCATATACATGCCTAATCACTATGTTTTACACCTAAAACTAATATAATATTGTATGTCAACAGTAATTTAAAATTAAATTTTTTTTTTTTTTTAAAAAGCTCCAGCTGGTTTGGCTCAGTGGTTAGAGAGTCAGCCCTCAGACCAAAGGGTCACAGGTTTGATTCCCAGTCAAAGGCATGTACCTGGTTTGCAGGTTCAATACCCAACCCTGGTCAGGGTTGTACAGAAAGCAACCAATTGATGTGTCTTTCTCACAATGATATTTCTCTCTCTTTCTTTCTTTCTTTCTTTTTTTTCTCTCTCTCTCCTCCCTTCCACTCTATCTAAAAATCAATGAAAAAATATCCTCGAGTGAGGATTAACCAAAAAATAATAATAATAAAAGAATATATAAAATCATTTTTTAAAAGGTCAATTTTGCCCTGGCCAGTTTGGCTCAGCGGTTAGAACGTCAGCCTGCGGTCCAGAGAGACCCGGTTTCGGTTTCCGCTAAGGGTACGTACCTCGGTTGCAGTTTGTCCCCGGCCCTGGTTGGGTCGTGTGGGTGGCAGCCACTTGATATATCCCTTTCACATAGATGTTTTTCTCTCTCTCTCTCCCTCCCACTCTATCTGAAAAAAAAATGGAAAAATGTCCTCAGGTGAGGATTAAAAATAAAAGGTCAATTTTATATAGAGAGTACTCATACAACTCAACAAAAGGAAGACAAAGAACCCAATTAAAAAAAATGGGCAGAGGAGCTGAATAGACACCTCTCCAAACAGGACATACAAATGGCCAAGAGACATATGAAGAAATGCTCAACATCACTAATCATCAGAGAGATGCGAATTAAAACATCAATGAGGTATCACCTCACACCTGTCAGAATGGCCGCCATCAACAAATCATCAAACAACAAGTGTTGGCGAGGGTGTGGAGAAAAGGGGACTCTAATACACTGCTGGTGGGAATGCAAACTGGTGCAGCCACTATGGAAAACACTATGGTGTTACCTCAAAAAATTAAAAATTGAACTGCCATTTGACCCAGTGATCCCACTTCTAGGAATATACCCTAAGAAGCCCGAAACACCAATCAGAATGAATATATGTACCCCCGTGTTCATTGCAGCACTATTTACAATAGCTAAGATCTGGAAACAGCCCAAGTGCCCATCAGTAGATGAGTGGATAAAAAAGAAGTGGTACATATACACAATGGAGTACTATGCAGCTGTAAGAAAGAAAGATCTCTTATCCTTTGAGACGACATGGAGGGACCTGGAAAGTATTATCCTAAGCGAAACAAGCCAAGCAGAAATAGACAGATACCACATGATCTCTTTATTTGTGGAATATAATGAACATAACAGTCTGAGGAATAGGGTAGACCCAGAGATGTGGAAGTAGGGTACAGACTGACAACCCTCAGAAGAGTGGGTTGTGGGGGGAGGGAAGAGATAAACCACAGAACTTATATGCATGTATGCATAACCAATGGACATGGACAACAAAGCTGGGGAAGGTGGGGGATAGGGAGGAGGGTGTCAATGGGGTAAAAAAGGAGAAACATCTGTAACAAAAATAGAATTAAAAATAAAATAAAAAAATTTAAAAGAAACTTTAAAAGGTCAATTTTACTATATGACATTGAAAAATAAAATAAAATTACACCAAAAGTATTGGCTTTTTAAAAATTAGCGGACTTCCAATCAAGTATCACCTCCTCCCACAACCATATCAAAATTACAACTAAACTACAGAACAATCATCATTCAGAACCGCCTGACATCGAGCTGAATGGAAGTCCTACAACTACGGAATTAAAGCAGCAGCCACATGGAGACTGGTAGGAGGGGCAGAGGCGTGGACGAGCTGGTGCCACACCCACATGTGGCGGATAAAAATCAGAAGGACACCTTGGGCTGGGACGGTCCTCCCTGAGGAGTGAGGGGTTCCCATCCCACACCAGGCCCCCCAGCTCAGGGTTCCAGTACCAGGAAGAAAAGCCCCATAACTGCTGGCTGTAAAACCAGTGGGAACTGAGGCTGGGGCTTCTAGAGTCCCAGCCAGTTCCTCTTAAAGGGCCCGCACACGGACTTACTCCAACTCTCTCCCTCTGGGCTCTAGCGTGGGGGAGGCAGCTTGAAAGGCAGCAGAAGAACTGAGTTGTTTGGCATTGGGGCAAAAGCGGGAGAGGCAGCTTTCTCGGGACAGACATACTAGTGGAGGCCGTTGTTTTTTTAGTTAGCCCTTCCCCCATGGGGCTGGCAGATGGCCATCATATCTGGGACTCCAGAAACCTGGTTCATACTGTTTGCCCTGCCCTGGTGATTCCCTGAGTTCCTGGCCCACCCAACTTTCAGGCCCACCCAAGATGTTTCTAGTGGCTTTACCATAGGATTGCCCTGTCTTAGCGTCTGCTTCAGATTTCCCTAAATTCTCTAAAAAATGCAGCATCTGGCCTGAGTAAGCCCCATACCTCTCATTAATTGGCCCAAGGCCCAGCACTAACAGCAGCCAGCTGGGGTTCACAGCTTGGCCTTGCCCAGGCACCTCTAAGCCCAGCACAAGAAGCAACCATCTGCAGATCACTTTGTAGCTTATGCCTGGTGGCCCTGGATAGAACACAGGCAGTGGCTGACCTTGTCCCAGAGAGAGCACACCCAATGGACAGTTTCAGACCACATCGAAACACCATCACCCAACTACCTCCACAAGCAACACACTCAAGGAGTGGACTCAGTGGGTCCCAGAGCCCTGCTGAAGTAAGTCTTGCTCTGTGTGGTGGGCCCTGCACAACTGATCGTCCAAGGTACTCAGAGGTCAGTGGTCACAGCCAGTCCTTGCAGCTGACCAGCATGAGTAAATCCCTCCCACTGATATGCCAACAGCAATCAAGACTCAATTACAACAGAAGGGTGTACAGACCACACTAGGGGTGCACCTCAAGGGCCCAGCTGGGGTGAGCAGGGAGCCTGTGCCACTGGACCCTACAGGACACCTACAACAATAAGCCACCCTACAAAGCCTAGGAGACATAGCAGCTATACTTAATACATAGAAACAAACACAGGGAGGCAGCCAAAATTAGGAGACAAAGAAACATGTACCAAATGAAAGCACAGAACAAAACTCCAGGAAAATAACTAAATGAAATGGAGACAAGCAATCTAACAGACGCAGAATTCAAAACACTGGTTATAAGGATGCTCAACAAACTTAGTGAGGACCTCAACAGCATAAAAAAGATCCAGTCAGAAATGAAGGATGCACTAATTGAAATAAAGAATAATTTACAAGGAATCAACAGTAGGGTAGATGAAACTGAGAATCAAATCTGTAATTTGGAATATAAAGAATCAAAAAACACCCAATCAGAATAGCAACAAGAAAAAAGAATCCAAAAAAAAATGCAGATAGTGTAAGGAGCCTCTGGGACAACTTCAAGTGTACAACATTCACATTATGGGGGTGCCAGAAGGAGAAGAGAGAGAGCAAGAAATTGAAAACCTATTTGAAAAACAGACAGAAAAATTTCCTAACTTGGTGAAGGAAATAGACATACAAGTTCAGGAAGCAGAGAGTCCCAAACAAGAAAAACCCAAAGAGATCCACACATCATAATTAAAATGCAAAAGGTTAAAGTCAAAGAGAAAATCTTAAAAGCAGCAAGAGAAAAGCAGCAGTTACCTACAAAGGAGCTTCCATAAGACTGTCAGCTGATTTCTCAAAAGAAACTTTGCAGGCCAGAAGGGAGTGGCAAGAAATATTCAAAGTGATGAAAAGCAAGGACCTACAACCAAGATTACTCTATCCTGCAAAGCTATAATTTAGAATTGATGAACATATAAAAAGCTTTGCAGACAAGAAAAAGCTAAAAGAGTTTGTCACCACCAAACCAGTATTATATAAAATGTTGAAGGGTCTTCTTGAAAAAGAAGATGAAAAATATAAACCACAAAATGGTAGTAAATACATATCTATCATCAGTTGAATCTACAAACAAAATGAACAAGCAGAACAGAAATAAACTCACAGACACAGAGAACTTTTTGTTGGTTTGGGGGGATGGGCGGAAAAGGTAAAGGGATTAAGAAGTACAAATTTGTTGTTAGATTGATGAACCTTAAAGGAGGGGGCGGGGAGGTGGTAAAGAGATAAACCAAAGAACTTCTATACATATATGCATAACCAATGGAAATAGACAATAGTGTGGGGAAGGCAGTAGGGTGGCAAGACTGGGAAGGGGGGGTCATTGGAGGAAAAGGGGGGACATCTGTAATACTTTCAACAATAAAGATAAGTTTAAACAATAAATAAATAAAAATAAACAAGCAGCCCTAGCAAGGTGGCTCAGTTAGTTGGAGTGTTGTCCCATGTACCAAAAAAGGTTGTGGATTCAATTCCTGGTCAGAACACAAACCCAGGTTTTGGGTTTGATCTCTGGGAGGCAGCCAATCGATATTTCTCTTTTACATCTCTCTCTCTCCCACTTTCTCTCTCTCTAAAATCAGTACACAGCCTGGTCGGTGTGGTTCAGTGGTTAGAGCATCAGCACACAGACCAAAGGATCATGAGTTTGATTCCCAGTCAAGGGCACATATGTACCTGGGTTGCAGGTTTGATCCCCATCCCTGGTCAGCCAGTCAGGGTTGTGTGGAAGGCAACCAATCAACGTGTCTCTCTCACATTAATGTTTCATTCTCTCTTTCTCTCTCTTTCTCTCTCTCTCTCTCTCTCTCACTCTCTCTCTCTCTCTCTCTCTTTCCCTGTCCCTACCTTCCTTCCACTCTCTCTCTCTCTAAAAAGCCATGGAAATAATATCCTCAGGTGAGGATTAACCAAAAAAAATTAACCAAAAAAAAGTAACATATCCTTGGGTGAGGATTAAAAAAAACTTTAAAAATGCCCTGGTTGGTTTGGCTTAGCAGTTGGAGCTTCTCCCGCGGACCAGAGATCCCCAGGTTCGGTTCCCCCTAAGGGCACATACCTCAGTTGCAGTTTGTCCCTGGCCCCAGTTGGGGTCATGTGGATGGCAGCCAGTCGATGTGTCTCTCTCACATCGATGTTTCTCTCTCTCTCTTCCTCCCTCTTTCCCTCTCACTCTGTCTGAAGATAGGTGCAAAAATGTCCTTGGGTGAGGATAAAAAAATAATAATAATAAAAATTAAAAAAACTTTTTAAACTTTAAAAATAAACAAGCAGATTCTAAGAAACAAGCAGATTTATATGGAACATATGTAAAGATTGGTTAGGAATAAATTTTTGAAAATCTCGTATGTTAAAATAATCGAGGTACAGTACAGTGTGTATAGCACCTCTGGAGCACGAGTGAAGCCTGTAGGTTTGCGTATGCCTATACTCTGGAGAGTATCTCTGGAAGAAGACACAGGAACGGGGGACAGTGGCGGCCTCCCAGGAAGGAAACAGCAGGCTGGGGGAACCATGAGGAAGAGATTTTTGCAGTTTATCCCTTACTGCCTATTGAATTTTGAACCAAGTGCATCTTAAAAGAACTAAAAAAATGTTTTTTAACTGATTTTTTTTAAAGAGAGGAAGTGAGAGATAGAAACATTGATGAGAGAACATCGATTGGCCGCCTCCTGCATGCCCCCCACTGGGGACTGGGCCCACAACCTGGGCATGTGCCCTGACCGGGAATCGAACTGGTGACCTCTGGGTGCATGGGGTCGATGCTCAACCACTGAGCCATGCCATCCAGACAAAAACATTTTTTAAAAGAAGAGTCTTGAGCTCCTGCGAGTGAGGCCTGAAGAAAGAGATGTGAGAATGGGAGCTAAAGCCACAGAACTGGATGCAGTCAGGCAGCAAGAAGACAGGGAAAGAAGAGAGGCTGTTCCCTGGTGCCCCTGGGCAGGCAGGGCAGGCAGGGGGAAATGGTCTGGCAATGTGTAGCTAAAGCCCTCTGCAGGGGGGGAAGCATGAAGGAAGGGAAGGGAAGGGGAGAGGAAGGGAGGGGAGGGGAGAGGAGGGAAGTGGAGGGGAGCAGTCCCCAGCCCAGTCCTGCCCCTGCCCTCCAGTCTCCTGCTGCCCATCTGTACTCTATGCCAAACACAGCCTACCTCTGAGGGCCTTTGGGAACCGCTCGGGCGACTGCCGTAGGTTAGATCCAAACAGGAAGCAGAAACCATTCACATAGGTGTTCTCCTTGCAAATTTGGTGTAGGGTGGGGCCGCAGGCCTGGAGGGTAGGGTGTAGGTGAGAGGAGCTGCCCCCTGCTTCCTGTCCCTTTACCCCAGCATGTCCATCCTCCCAAAACCCCAGCCCCAACAGCCCCAGGTCTCCATGCCTCCCCTCAGAACACTCCCATGACCCAGGGGCAACTCACCAGCAGCCGGAATGGGTTGGTGGCAAATGCCAAAGACAGACCCAAGGACATGTTCACAGCCTCCGGGGGCACTGGGAGGACAGACAAGTGCACAGTTACATTCAGGGAGGTAAAAGGGCCTGTGTAAGAACTGGAAGGGGGTCACCTGGACCTGGGAGACACAGAGGTCTGACAGGTCAAAGGGGCAGCCAGGTCATGGGGAAAGAACATGAGAGGGGTGCCTGAGGGTGTCTGGGGTAGGGCCAAGCTACAGCGGAGGATGTGGAGCTGGACCCGTGGGGCTCCAACCGCGGACGACCCCCCAGAACAAACGGAATGCCTGGCAAGTCCAAGTGTATGCACGAGTGGAACCCCAGCCCGGGTGAGGGAGGACAGGGACTCACCCTGCAGGGGGATGGGCTCACAGGTGCCCAGGCTGTAGTCACACTGGTAGAGGCCACCTGTTTGGTTGGCAGCCTTTATCTCCTGGGGGGCTCCAACCACCAACCTAAGGGGAGAAGTGGGAACAGATCACACAGGAAAAGGAGAAAAGTCACATGTAGAGAGAGGAGGCGATGAAGAAGTCCTGTTCCCAAAGGAAAGTGGGAGAGCCAATCCTCACACAGATTCCCCAGTTCCTGGAGCCAGGAGGAAGACGCAACAAAGAAAAAATGGGAAATGTCTACATCTTAGTGTGGGAAGGACCTCTCTAAGAAGAACACAAAACCAAAAGGCCATTAAAAACTGGTTCAATCTTCTCTCTTTCGTGGCGCCCCAGAGGCGGCCAGCTGGTTCGGGTGAAGATGGACATCTTCCCAGCCACTGGCTGCCAGACACTCGTTGACGTGGATGATAAACGCCAACTTCGTACCTTTTTTTTTCTTTTTTTTATCCTCACCCAAGGACACTTTTCCATTTTTTGTTCAGATAGAGTAGGAGGGAGAGAGAGAGAGAGAAACATCGATGTGAAAGGGACAAATCGAGTGGCTGCCACCCGCACAATCCAACCAGGATCGGGGACAAACTGCAACCGAGGAGGGTGCCCTTAGTGGGAACCGAACCCAGGTCTCTCTGGACCGCAGGCCAAAGCTCTAACCACTGAGCCAAACCAGCCAGGGCCAACTTCGTACCTTTTATGAGAAGCATATGGCCCCAGAAGTTGCTGCTGACACTCTGGGTGAAGAATGGAAGGGTGAAGTGGTTGGAATCAGTGGTGGGAACTACAAACAAGGTTTCCCCAGGAAACAGGGTACCTCACCCACGGCGTGTCTGCCTGCTACGTGTAAGGGGCATTCCTGTGACAGACCACGGAGGACTGGAGACAGAAGCAGTAATCTGCTCCAGGTCGCATTGTGAATGCCAATCTGCATGTTCTCAGCTGGGTCATTGTGAGAAAGGGAGTGAAAGATATTTCTGGTCTCACTGATACTACTGTGCCTTGTCACCTGGGGCCCAGAAGAGCTAGCAAAACTCGCAGACTTTCCATCTCTCTGGAGAAGATGATGCCTGCCAATATGTTGTGAGAAAGCCCCTGAGCAAAGGAGGTAAGAAACCACAAACAAAAAAAAATGCAAGTTGCAGCGTCGTGTTACTCCACACATCCTGCAAGGCAAATGTCGGCATATTACTCTGAAGAAACAGTGAACTAAGAAAAATAAGGAAGATGCCACAGAATATGCTAAATGTTTAGCCAAGAAAAGGAGGGAGGCCACAGAAAAACATAAGAAACAGTTTGCCAAGAGACAAGAGACATAGGCTGCCCTCTCTGAGAGCTTCTTGGAGCTCTAAGAAGAGCCAGTCAAAAATGAGATTTTTTTTTACCCTGGCAGGTGTGCCTTCATTGGTTGGAGTGTCATCCCATGCACTGAAAGGCTGCAGGTTCAATTCCTGGTCAGGGCCATAACTAAGTTGCAGGTTCGATCCCCAATCGAGGCATGTACAGGAGAACCAATCAATGTTTCTTTCTCACATTGATGTTTCTCTCTCTCTCTCTCTCTCTCTCTCTCTCTCTCTCTCTCTCTCTCTCTCTCCTGCCCCCCTCTAAAATCAATAAGCATATCCTTGGGTGAAGTGGTTTTTTTTTTATCCTCACCCAAGGACATTTTTCAATTTTTTTGTTCAGATAGAGTAAGAGAGAGAGAAACATCGACGTGAAAGGGACACATCGAGTGGCTGCCTCCCGCACGACACAACCAGGGCCGGGGACAAACTGCAACCGAGGTACGTGCCCTTAGCGGGAACCGAACCCGGGTCTCTCGGGACCACAGGCCAGCACTCTAACCACTGAGCAAAACCAACCAGGGCTTTTTAATGAGACTTTTTAAGAGTAACAAATAAATAAGATCAAACATCAACAAAAATTTTAATTAATAAATAAATATGGTTAAATTAAACCACAGTCATTTTAAATAAATTTCTGTCTGTGATAAACTACCATAAGCAAAGTTAAAAGACAAATGATAAGCTAGTGGGAGAAAGATTAGCAACTCACACCCCAACCTACTTTCCTCAATATAGTCATAGCTCCTACAATCCAATAAGGAAAAATAATAATAACCCAATAAAAAAAATGGGCAACAAATAAGGGGAAAAAAAGTGTTCACAGTAAAAGGAAATAATCTCTCATTTGTAAAGAAATGTAATTTGAAACTAAATTGAGATACCATTTGTCACTTATTCAATTTGCAAAGATCAATAAGTTTGATAACACACTGGATTGGTAAATGGACAGAGAAATAGGTGTTTCCATAAATTTCTGGTGTGAGTATAAATTGTTGCCACCTCTATAGAGGGTAATCTGGAAAAATCTATTAAAATTACATACGTATATGTACCCTTTGATCCAGCAATCCTAGTTCTAAGATTTACTTCCAAATATATTGGCACCTGTGCAAAATGACAACATTTTTCACATGGAAAGAGTGTGGAAACAATCTAATATCCATTAAGAAGAAATTTAAGTGTAATAAAAATGTGAATTACAGTACCTTCAAATAATAGAATATGATGCAAGCATTAAAAAAATGAATAAACTCTTGCCCCGGCTTGTATTGCTCAGTGGTGAGAGCATCTGTCGATGGACCAATCGGGTCTTGTGTTCTATTCCTGATCAAGGGCACGTACCTGGGTTGCAGGTTTGATCCCAGCCCTGGTCAGGGTCATGCAGGGGGCAACCAATCAACGTGTCTCTCTCACATCAATGTTTCTCTCTCTCTTCCTTCCCTCCCTCCCTTCCACTTTCTCTAAAAATCAATGGAAAAATGTCCTCAGCTGAGGATTAACAACAACAAAAAGGGTAAGCTCTCTATGCACTTATCTGGTAAAATTACCATGCTCTATTAAGAAAAAAATGCAAAAGATGGTATAGAGCAGAGACCACCAGCAAATTTCATCTGGAGCAGAAATACCATTTCTATAAATATTATTTTTGTAAAGATAAATATTTTAGGCTTTGCAGGTCATACAGTCTCTGTCATGGCCTCTTTTTTTTTAATTATTGATTTAAGAGAGAGAGAAACATCAATTGGTTGCCTCTTGTGTGCCCCTTGACAGGGATTCAAACCTGCAACCTAGGTATGTGCCTGACCAGGAATCCAACCCACAATCTTTTGGTGTATGGACAATGCTCCAACTAACTGAGCCACGTGGCCAGGGCTGTCATAGCCTCTTGATTCTGCCCTTGTAGCTCCAAAGCAAGCATGAACAATAAATAACGAGTCGGGGTGGGGTGATCAATAAAATGTTTTTACAAAAACTGGCAGCAGGCTATAGTTTGAGTATAACATGTGCTACAAGTTGCGTGCAGGAGAAAGGTTAGGAAAATGTAGAGGTATGTCCGCACAGTACATGATTATCTTTCTTTGGAAGAACACCCAAGAAATTTTATCAAAATACCAATGGCATATTTCACAGAACTAGAAAAAAAATTCAAAAATGTATATGACACCACAAAAGACCCAGAATAGTCGCAGCAATCTTGAAAAAGAAGACCAAAGTTAGAGGAATCACACTACCTAGTATCAAACTGCACTACAAGGCCATAGTAATCAGAACAGCCTGGTACTACTTTCAGCTCAGAGGACACTTAGGAGCAACTTTCTTCAGTCTTTCTGAAGCCGGGTTCATCCAACACCAGCCACCGCCACCATGCTACCAAAGTTTGACCCCAACAAGATTAAAGTCATGTACCTGAGATGCCACGTCTTCCCTGACCCCCAAGATCAGCGCCCTGGGTCTGTCTCCAAAAATGGTTGGTGATGCTGAATGTCACTAATCATCAGAGAGATCCACATTAAAACCACAATGAGATATCACCTCACACCTGTCAGAATGGCTATCATCAATAAATCCACAAACAACAAGTGTCAGCAAGGATGTAGAGAAACGGAAACCCTCGTGCACTGTTGGTGGGAATGTAAATTGGTGCAGCCGCTATGGAAAACAGTATGGAGGGTCCTCAAAATATTAAAAATGAAATTGCCTTATGACCCAGCGATTCCACTTCTGGGTATATATCCAAAGAAACCCAAAATGTTCATTCAAAAGGATATATGCAACCCTATTTCATTGCAGCATTATTTACTTACAATAGCCAAGATATGGAAGTAATCCGAGTGTCCATCAATAGACCAGTGGATAAAAAATTATAGTATAACCCTGGCTGGCTTGGCTCAGCAGTTGGACCGTCGGCCCACAGACCAATGAGTCGCGAGCTCGATTCCAGCCAAGGGCACGTACCTCGGTTGCAGTGTGTCCAAGGCTCTGGTCAGGGTCATGAGGGAGGCAACCAGCCAATGTGTCTGTCTCAAGTCGATGTTTCTCTCTTTCTCCCTCTCTTCCTCCCTCCCACTCTGTCTGAAAAGAAATGGAAAAATATCCTTGGGTGAGGAATAAAAAAAAATCATGGTACACATGAAAGGAGTGGGAGAGAATAATAGAATAATAGAGAACTAATCATAGTGGGGTACTAGCCATAATTATAAGAAATGTTAAACATCCTTGCTGTTAATCATGACTGCTTTGTTCCGATTAAAGAAAGTCCATTCTGACCTGAGATGCCCTGGGAGGTTACCTCAGGAATGCTGTCCATTGTCCTTACCCGAGAGCTGCCCCGCCTCATCGTGAAAAGACTAACAACCTTGGAGTCTTGGAAGGGGTGCACTGGAGACAGTTGCTTCACCCAGCACACATTCCCCAGCCTGAATCACTCACCCATGCCCGCAATCTGTAACTGTTTTACCCTTTGATGTTCCCTTTGCCTACTCCCCCAACCATTGTACCCATCATTATTCCCTTTGTCTACTTCCCCATATAATACCCAATATAAGCAACCAGCTGTGGAGGGAGTGAAGAGAGTTTTCAGGGATGACCTGCTACTCTCCCATACTGCCAGCAGTATTAGAATAAATGCTCATATATGATTCAACCTTGTCTCTGCTTAATTGGCTCAAGTAGTGACAGGCAGCCCAGACCCATTTGTTGTCCAGTTTCACATATATACAATGGAATATTACTTGGCCATAAAAAAGAATGAAATCTTACCATTTGCAACAGTATGGATGGACCTAGAGGGTATTATGCTATGTGAAATAAAGCAGTCAGAGAAAGACAAATACCATATGATTTCACTCATATGTGGAATCTAAAGAACAAAACAAACAAACAAAATAGAAACAGACTCAGATACAGAGAACAGACTGATGGTTTTCAGAGGTAAGAGGGGTTGGGGAACTGGGTAAAAATGGTGAAGGAATTAAATACAAATTGGTGGTTATAAAATAGTCACAGGGGTGTAAAGTACAGCACAGGGTCCGGCCGGTGCAGCTCACTGGTTGAGCATCGACCCATGCACCAAGAGGTCACCGGTTCGATTCCCGGTCAGGACACATGTTCAGGTTGTGGGCCCGATCCCCAGTTGGGGACATGCAGGAGGTGGCCAGTAGAGGTTCTCTTTCATCAATGTTTCTAAATCTCTCTCCCTCTCACTTCCTCTCTCTCTAAAAAAATTTTTAAATAAAAAATAAAGTACAGCACAGGGAATGTAGTCAATAATATTGTAATAACTATGCATGGTGCCAGTGGGCACTGGCAGTATCAGGGAGAACACTTTGTAATGGACATGATTATCTAACCACTATGCTGTACACCAGAAACGAATACAAAGAATACTGGATGTAAACTGTAATTGAAAAATAAAATTTTTTTTAAAAACCCTCCTGGGACAGGAACTAGGGGAATGGAATGTGGAGGATTTTTCACTATCACACTCTGGTATCTTTTTAATTTAGAACCCTGTAATTGTATTAACTATTCAAAAACAAATCAAGAAGAAAAACAAAAAAATTTTTTTTTCAGGTATGTAGTCTTAGAGGGAAAGTGGGTGAGACAGGGACACCCCCCACCCTCACCAGTGGCCCTTACCGGGACCCCTCAAGCTGGACCACACTCTGCCCGAAGCTTTTTACATTCTCTTGAAAGATCACTGCGGTTTCAGTGTCCAGGTTGAATCCGTGACATAAGGCCAAGGCTGGAGGGAAAAGAAAGGGGTGAGGGTCGGAGGAGATAAGGACGCAGGTAAGAAAGCAGTCCTCCTGCTCTGGGCATCTTCCTACTGGGATTCACTCTAACCCAGCATGGAGATGTCTGCCTCCCACATCCAGCTCTGACAGCCCAGACAGAGGTCAGCACACTTTCTCTAAAGGGCCCGACAGTAAAAAATGTTGGCTCTGTGGGCCAACAGGCAAAGAGAGTATATCATGTAGGTACTTATATACAAAAGAACAAATGCATTTCCACAAATTTTTCACTAAGGAGATTCAAAATATAATAAATAATTGAATGCACTTTTTTGTAATACAAATTTGCTAATGACACAGATGGAATTCTTTGGGGAAGATAATATTTCACTTCATTGGGATGAACATTAGTGTTCCTGATCATGAATCAATTACCAACGCCCACCTAAGACTCACAGACTATACAAAAGTCGTGGTGGAACCCTTGCCTTATACCCATAGGCCATAGTTTGCTGACCCCAGGCCTAAACCACCAACATGGGGTGTCTCCAGCCCCTCTTTAAGCCTAGTCCTATGTTCCTGCCCTGCTGATTTGCCCAATAAGCAGTTTCTAAAGCCTCCCAGTTAGGCAATTTCCTTTTTATTCAAACTCTCAAGCATTTCTTTTCCTTCGTTGGTTCATTCATCACAAAACACAAGCATTAAAGGAAACAAACTTAAATCATTTGATCCAGAAGTCATTCAACAAACAAATTTAGACCTGGGTCTTTGGAAAATAGAACTGGAGGTGAAGTAGAAGTGGTGAGGTGGGATCCAGGACAAAACACTCTGAGAATCCAGTATCAGCCCTGGCCGGTTTGGCTCAGCGGTTAGAGCGTCTGCCTGCGGTCTGGAGAGACCCGGGTTTGGTTCCCGCTAAGGGCATGTACCTCGGTTGCAGTTTGTCCCCGGCCCTGGTTGGTCGTGAGGGTGGCAGCCACTCGATGTGTCCCTTTCACATCGATGTTTCCCTCTCTCTCTCTTACTCTCTCTCCCTCCCACTCTATCTGTACAAAAAAATGGAAAAATGTCCTCGGGTGAGGATAAAAAAATAAAAATAAACATAAAGAATCCAGTACCAGCCGTGCATCCCTTAGCATGTCATTTCACCTCTCTAGGTCTCTTTCCTCAGTTGTGAAGGGGCCAGCTGAACCCCTTTGCACAGGCTATGAATTTAGTCATTCATCCAAGCTTCTCTGGCCATCCCTTCTTGGTCTAGCTCTACTCTCTGCTTCTTCATGAATCTCTTATCCTTCTCCAAATCCTCTTTGTCACTCCCCAATCTGACTCCTAAATATTCTGCACTCCTTCTCTCTACTCACAGTTTGCCTCCTCCTCACCCAAAGCTCTTCCCCCACCTCCAGGCCCCTGGCACACCTGTTAACAGAAGAACTCTTTCAGTCATGGCTAGAGGGAGCAGGAATCCTGTGGCTGTGAACCACCGACGCCAGGAAGGGAATAAAAAGAGAAGTAGTAGCAGCAGATATCTGTTAGAGACTCGAAGAGGGCGGGGTCTGGGTGAGCACATAGCTTTCTTGACCTTCCTTCTGTGGCAACACACAGCCTATGCTCCCTACTTGCCTAGCTCCCTAGCCCAAACCAGAAAGGTCACAATTTCAAAGGTGTTGTTTGTTTGCCCACAAACTTCTAGGGTTGGCCAAAGTATTATAAAAAAAAAAAAAAAAAAAAAAAAAACAGCCAAATAGGCTCAGGGCCTGCCTCCTAGAATGTGTGACATTAATACAGACCATGAAAATGTGGGAGGTCACCCTCTGTGTCTGCCTGAAAGCACGCTTTGCAAAATGTCCTTCCTCCTGCCTGAGGAAGCAGGAGCACCCTTCAGCCAGAACTGTCCTCCTTTGTACACATCAATAAGGACAGTTCGAATACAGAGAGACCTAGTGCTTTTTAAATATTATTTTGTTTTTTAAAAAACCTCAAATGGGAATTCCAAAATGGCGGTGGAGTGAATGGAAGCTACACAGACCGTCTCCCAGGACCAAACTGGAATTACAACTAAAATAAAGACAAATCATTGGGAAAAAGCAACTAAAAAGCAGCTTGTGAGGACCATATAACCAGGGACACTAACTCGATCTTGGTAGGACTGCGGACGTGAGAGAGGGGGGCTGGGAGCCCACAGACAGCAGTGGCCTTAGTTGTGAGCAGCGCCCTCGGGTTACACTCCCAGGCGGCTCCACAGCGCAGAGCCGGGACAGACGCTAAAATAGCCACAGCCACTCACCTTGGGCTCCAGCAGAGGGAGGGCAGACTGGACTGGAACTGTGTGAGGACACTCTGGATTTGGAGGGCGCTCAGAGCTTTTGCTGAGTTGCAGCCGCACAGGACGGTGGCCATCTTACTCCTTCCCAGGGCTGTGGGGAGAAGCAGCAGCTTCTCCCTCAGAAATTTAACCCCACCCAGGTGGTTCATTGAAATGCAAATTGAGGCTCATTAACAATCAGCATCTGCCCCACCCTTGGGAAATCCTCTTATGCAGAACACCTGAGAGAGCTTTTTATACAACTGAGAACCCAAGGCTCTTCAAGTAACAAAGACTAATAGCCTCCAGGAAAAAACCTAGAGGATAACTGAACCATTCCTGGGCTTCCAGACCTACTCAGGTAAGTAAGACTTAACAGTGGTGTTGAACATGGGTCCTCCCACGCTCATCCAAACCCAGTAGAGAAAGCCACAAACAGTAGAACACCAACACCCACAGGAAAAATTTGGCAGGCTCCAAAACCCACTGAGATAGCCAAAATGGTGAAACAAAAAAACAAACCCCAAATGAAAAAACAAGAGACCTCTACCAAAGATGAGATCAATGAAATGCAGTTAAGCAAGTTATCAGAGGTAGAATTCAGAGCCATGATCTTGAGGAAGCAAAACAGCATGAGTAACGACATAGAAACATTGAAAATCAACCACTTGGAAATAAAAAAAAAACCACCAAGAAGAAATGAAGAATGACATAGCAGAAATAAAGAACACATTGGAAGGACTAAACAGCAGACTAAAGGAAGCTGAGGACCAGATCAGTGAATTAGAAGACAGGGTAGAAAAAAATCAACCAATCAGAAAAACAAAAGGAATAGACAATTAAAAAACAGGAAGACAGCTTAAGAGAACCGTGGGACAACTGGAAATGTAATAATATTGAAATCAAAGGAGTCCCTGAAGGAGGAGAAAATGAGCAAGGGTTAGAGAATATATTCAAAGAAATAGTGACAGAAAACTTTCCTAATTTGGTGAAGGAAGAAGGCATTCAAGTTCAAAAAGCGCAGAGAGCCCCAAGTAAGAAGAACCCAAACAGGCCCACACCAAGACACATAGTAATTAAAATGCCACAAATTAAAGACAAAGAGAGAATCCTGAAGGCAGCAAGAGAGAAGCAACAAGTTACTTACAAAGGAAACCCCCCCCCATAAGGCTCTAAGCAGACTTCTCAACAGAAACACTACAGGCCAGAAGGGAATGGTATGAAGTAATCAAGGTCATGAAAAACAAGGATCTGAATCCAAGACTACTCTACCCAGCAAGGCTATCATTCAAAATAGAAGATCAAATAAAGACCTTCCCAGATGATAAAAGGCTAAGGGAATACATTAGCACCAAACCAGCACTGCAAGAAATGTTAAAAGGACTGCTGTGATTAGCAGGAGAAATAGGAAGAAAAATAGAACCACACTAAACAAAAATGGCAATAAATAAGTACATAGCAATAATCACCTTAAATGTAAATGGATTGAATGCTGTGATAAAAAGACACAGAGTAGCTGATTGGATAAGAAAGCATGACTCTGACTTCCTGTCAAGATGGCAGCATAGGTAAACGCAGTATCACATCCTTCCACAACCACATCAAAGTTACAACTAAACTGCAGAACAACCATCATTCAAAACCACCTGAAATCAAGCTGAATGGAAGTCCTACAACTATGGAATTAAAGCAGCAGCCACATCCAGACTGGTAGGAGGGGTGGAGGCGGAGGGGCTGGTCCCACGCCCTCATGTGGCAGATAAAAATCAGGAGGATACCTCGGCTGGGAAGGTCCTCCCTGAGGACTGAGGGGTCCCCATCCCACACCAGGTGCCCCGCCCAGGGTTCCAGTGCCAGGAAGAGAAGCCCCCATAACTTCTGGCTGGAAAAACCAGCAGGAACTGAGGCTCAGGGAAGCTGAAGTGGCTGGAGCCCCAGGCAGCTCCTTAAAGGGCCCGCAAATGGACTTATTGGACTCACTCCCTCTAAGCTTGGAGGGGAGGCAGCTCGAGGGGCACCAGAGACATACAGGGAAGGACTGAGCTGTTTGGCATTGGAGCAAGGACTGGAGAGGGGGCTTTCTCCAGGACAAACGTGCTGTCAGAGGCCTTGGTTCCATTGGTGAGCCCTTCCCCGAGGCAGCAGACAGTTGCCATATCTAGGCCTCCAGCAACCTGGCTCACACTGGTAGCCCCACCCTGGTGATTCCCTGAGGCCCCGTCCCACCCAACTTTCAGGCCCACCCAAGCTGTTGCCACTTGCTTAACCATAGGATTGGCCTATCTTGGACCCTGCTTCAGGTTTTCCTAAATTCTTTCAAACAAGCAGCATCTGGTCTCAGCTAGCCCCATACTGCTCGTTCAGTAATACACAGAAACAAACACAGGGAGGCAGCCAAAATGAGGAGACAAAGAAACAGGTCCCAAATGAAAGACCAGAACAAACCCCCAGGAAAGGAACTAAGCGAAATAGAGATAAGCAACCTAACAGATGCTGAGTTCAAAACACTGCTTCTAAGGATGCTCAATGAACTTAATGAGAACCTCAGGGAACTTAGTGAGGGCCTCAAGAGCATAAAAAAGGACCAGTCAGAAATGGTGGATGCACAGTCAGAAACAAAGGAGGCACTAACTGAAATAAAGAATAATTTACACAGATTCAATAGTAGAGTACGTAAATCCAAGAAGCAAACCATCGATTTGGAATATAAGGAAGCAAAAAATGCCCAATCAGAACAGTAAGGAGCCTCTGGGACAACTTCAAGCGTGCCAACATTCGCATCTTGGGGGTGCAGAAGGAGAAGAGAGGAAACAAGAAATTGAAAACCTGTTTGAAACAATAATGGCAGAAAACTTCCCTCACTTGGTGAAGGAAACAAACATACAAGTCCAGGAAGCACAGAGAGTCCCAAACAAGATGAACCCCAAGAGGCCCACACCAAGACACTTCATTATCAAAATGCAAAAGATTCAAGACAAAGAGAGAATCTTAAAAGAAGCAAAAGAAAGGCAGCTAGTTACCTACAAGGAAGTTCCCATAAGGCTGTCAGCTGATCTCTCAAAAGAAACTTTGCAGGCCAGAAGGGAGTGGCAAGAAATATTCAGAGTGATGAAAAGCAAGTACAACCAAGAGTACTCTATCCTGCAAAGCTATCATTTAGAATCGATGGCCATATAAAGAGTTTCCCAGACAAGAAAAAGTTAAAGGAGTTCATCACCACCAAATCGTTATTGTATGAAATGATGAAGGGTCTTTTTGAAGAAAAAAGATAAAATATATGAACATACAAGATGGCAATGAATACATATATATCAACAATGGAATCTACAAACAAAATGAACAGGCAGAACAGAAACATTCTAATAGATACAGAGAACATTTTGTTGGTTGCCAAATGGGAGGGGGGTTGGGGGAATGGGTGAAAAAGGTGAAAGGCATTAAGAAGTACAAATTCATTGCTAGGCTGACAAACCTCAAAGGGAATAGGGTTGGGGGGTGGGAAGAAATAAACCAAAGAACTTATATGCATAACCAATGGACACAGACAATAGTGTGGGAAAAGGCAGGAAGGGTGCGGGAGTGGGGAGGAGGGGGTCAATGGGGGAAAAATGAGGAACATCTGTAATGCATTCAACAATAGAGATTTAAAAAAAAAGAAAGCATGACTCATCTATATGTTGTTTACAAGAGACCCACCTCACAACAAAAGACTCACATAGGTTGAACGTGCAGGGATGGAAAAAAAATCTTCCAAGCAAACGATAAGGTAAAAAAAGCTGAGGTAGCAATACTCATATCTGATAAAATAGATTCAAAATGAAGGCCATAACAAGAGACAAAAAAAAATCACTACATAATATTGAAAGAATCTATCCAACAGGAAGATATAACCTTGGTAAACATATATCGACCCAATATAGGAGCACCAAAATATAGTAAAAATCTTCTGGAGGACTTCAAAGGACAAATCAACAGCAATGCAATCATAACAGGGGCCTTCAACACCCCGCTGACATCACTGGATAGATCCTCTAGACAAAAAATTAGCAAGGAAACAGACTCCAAATGAAGCACTAGACCAAATGGACTTAATAGATATCTACAGAGAATTACACCCCAAAACTACAGAATTCACATTTTTCTCAAGTGCACATGGGACATTCTCAAAGATAGACCACATGATAGGACGCAAACTAAATCTC